AGTCTGAGCAAGGGCTGAACTGCATTGTGTTGAGACATGTTGAGACTGCTGTGACCGCAGCTTTGAATGACGCCATTTTGCTTCTGGCGAGATGCATTGCGTCGGCTAGTGGCTCAGCAGCTCAGCAGGTAGGCCCTTTCGGGTTGTCAGATTCTCGGAGACTCGGCGTATCTCCGCATCACGTCATGGCGAGGGTTACGGTTCTCGTGGTTCTCATGATGCAGGCGCTTGCAGAGCAGAGCTGTCAAGAGGAGTCCCAGGAGGAAAGCTCCACTCTGATGCAGCTCAATCACCGAGACTTGGATCAAAGATCACTTAAGACATCTTAAGACTCAGGAGGTCTTCCCGCTTGGCTATATTTAGGAGATCTTAGGAGATCTGAAGAGATCTGAGACTCTGAGACGTTTTCTCTAGCTCTAGATGTACAGTGTGGGAGCCAGGGTCCCTTTCAGACTAGTCTATCAAGAACGGAGTTTGTTCTAGCAGTTTTTGTCTTGTCCATTTTCCTTCATTTATGTTTTTGTGGTCACTGCTTCTGTAGTTGATTTCTAGTTCTATTATTCCACTGTCCCTGTTCATGTTCAAATTCCAAATGTTGAGTTACTATGTTCATCATTTTAAACCACATGTTTTTTCCTTTGTGTGCCTGTAGTGGGAAAGGCTATAGTGCAGTTAAATTGTATGCCAACATTGTTTTTCATGGATTATTTACTGATATTTTGTTTTGGCAGTTTAGAACACTTTGTATTTCTCAATTTTTCTATTGTTGGCATTATTTCTTGGAACATGTTATATCGTTGAATCATAAATTCCAGCTTTCGTTCGGCAACTTTACTTTGCAACATACAGTTTTTGTGAATTCACTGGTGTTTCATCTACTCAACTTTCTTTTCGTTGGAATGCTTCTGGACATATATAATGCTAAACGATACTCTAAAATCTAATATATATTATATATAATATAATCGAAGGAAGTTTAGAAGTTAAACTTCCGACAATATGGACAGATGAAAAGCAGAGCAGGGAAGAGGCAGAGAGAAGAGAAAGATCAGAAGAAAGAAGATGCAGATGCGCGAAAAGGTAGGAAAGTCGCGAAACACTGTGTTTTTCCAATGATTTGTGGCTCCGGAGGGTCGAAAAGTAGGCCCGCTAAAGTGGCGGGTGCGGAGCCAGCTGGCCAGATGAGAAATGAAAAATTGCATTACAAAACACACCAGCTTCGGACCACTTTTGGAAGTTGCGATGTCGAAAAAGTGCACGCCGTTGTGGCGCGAAGCACATTTTGAAGTCAAAATGTACAAAGCACACCAGGTTCGGACCACTTTTGGAAGTTGAGATGTCGAAAAAGTGTACGCCGTTGTGGCGCGAAGCACATTTTGAAGTCAAAATGTACAAAGCACACCAGGTTCGGACCACTTTTGGAAGTTGAGATGTCGAAAAAGCGTACGCCGTTGTGGCGCGAAGCACATTTTGAAGTCAAAATGTACAAAGCACCAAAATGTTCGAGCCACTTTTGGAGGTTCGGATGTTGAAAAAGTGCACGCCGTTGTGGCGCGAAGCAGATTTCGAAGTCAAAATGTGCAAAGCACCAAAATGTTCGAGCCACTTTTGGAGGTTCGGACGTTGAAAAAGTGTACGCCGTTGTGGCGCGAAGCAGATTTCGAAGTCAAAATGTGCAAAACACCATATGTTCGCGCCACTTTTGGAGGTTCGGATGTTGAAAAAGTGTACGCCGTTGTGGCGCGAAGCACATTTCGAAGTCAACATGTACAAAACACCATATGTTCGCGCCACTTTTGGAAGTTCGGATGTTGAAAAAGTGCATGCCGTTGTGGCGCGAAGCACATTTCGAAGTCAAAATGTACAAAACACCACATGGTCGCGCCACTTTTGGAGGTTCGGATGTTGAAAAAGTGCACGCCATTGTGGCGCGAAGCACATCTCGAAGTCAAAATGCACAAAATACAGCAGCGTCGGACCACTTTTGGAAGTTGAGATGTCGAAAAAGTGCACGCCGTTGTGGCGTCAAAATGTACAAAACACTAGGGGTTCGGACCACTTTTGGAGGTTCAGATGTCGCTCCGCTTCAAGACACAACACTACAGAACATTACACTACACTACACTCCAGTACACTACATTACACTACATTACACTCCAGTACGCTCCACTACACTAAATTACACTACACCACACTACATTACACTGAATGACACTGCAACACAGATAGACAGGTAGACAGCTAGACAGATAGACAGATGAAAGGGCGAGATAGATAGACAGGTAGGTAGATAGATAGATAGATAGATAGATAGGTAATTAGATGAAAGAGAGAGAGAGAGGCCAGCTGGGTAGATGAGATAGAAAGATAGATGGCTAGACAGATAGACAGACAGACAGACAGACAGACAGATAGATAGATAGATAGATACATGGAGAGATAGATAGATACATAGAGAGATAGATAGATAGGCAGATAGATAGATAGATAGATGGATGGATAGATAGATAGATAGATAGATAGATCGATAGATAGATAGATAGATCGATAGATAGATAGATAGATCGATAGATAGATAGATAGACAGATAGATAGATACATAGATAGGTCGATAGATAGATAGATAGGTAGACAGACAGATAGATACATAGATAGATGGACAGACAGACATATAGATAAATAGATAGACGGACAGACAGACAGATAGATAAATAGTCAGAGAGATAGCTAGAGAAATAGATGGCGAGATAGACAGATAGATACATAGACACATAGACAGATAGTTAGATACCAAGACAAATAGAGAAATAGATGGGTAGAGACATAGACAGATAGATAGACAGATAGACAGATAGACAGATAGACAGATAGAGAGAGAGAGAGAGATAGATAGATATATATATATAGAGAGAATTTGATCGATAGATAGACAGAGAGACAAATAGATAGAGAGACACATGCCAGCGTGTATGTCTTTTCTGACTGCACGATGATGCACTCGAGCATTTGTACTTCATTGCAAGCCCGGCCTCGTGTCTGTCTTTTCTGATGGCACGATGATGCCTGCTAGCACAGCGGCAGCCCAAGATTCTTGTCCGTTGCTGCTTGGAAAAAAACACACTGCGGCGACACCGTGAGGGAGACACGTCAGAGGGATGTGCTAGATTTCTTCATGTGTTTGTAGTCTGTTGTGTTAACACTGTAGGAGCTGTTGAAGTTTCAATTTAGGAATTTGAGGATCGTATCAGTACACGGTAGATGGATGGATGGATGGATGGATAGATAGATAGATAGATAGACAGGTAGACAGATAGACAGATAGACAGATAGACAGATAGACAGACAGACAGACAGACAGATAGATAGATAGATAGATAGATACATCGATAGATAGATACATGGAGAGATAGATAGACAGGTAGGTAGATAGATAGGCAGATAGATAGATAGATAGATAGATAGATAGATAGATAGATAGATAGATTGAGAGATAGATAGAGAGATAGATAGATAGATCGATAGATAGATAGATAGATAGATATAGATAGATAGATAGATAGATAAATAGATAGATAGATAGAGATAGATAGGTAATTAGATGAAAGAGAGAGAGATAGATAGATCGATAGATAGATAGATCGATAGATAGATAGATACATAGAAAATAGATAGGTAGGTAGGTAGATAGTCAGAGAAAGAGAGAGAAAGAGTGAGAGAGATCAAGCCCCTTTCAATCCATCAGTGGCTTCGCTCTGCCATCCCTGATTCACAACAACCAACCTCTCCTATAGGTTTCCTATTTTTGAAACTTCCGCCACCGCCTTGTGCGGTACTACTGGTATACACTATGTATATTATACTTACTTACTCTTAAGTGGATGTTTCCCCATCTATTCACAATTTCCTTGTGTCAGATTTTAAGCCTTGAAACTTGGTTGCCAAGGAGAGATGACGGGTGATGAGCTCAATGAGTTGAACGAGGGTCTTCCATGGTGGGTCAAGAAGAAGATCATTGACTCACGTCGACAGAGTCACCCACCAGCTCCTCCTCCCCCCCCGGCACCTCCACGCTATCCTTGCTCCATCGCAGAGCCGCAGTCGCCACGCAACGTGAGTAAAGATTTCGTGGGATTGTTGCCTCCGAAAGTGCAGCCCGTCGGTTCTTGGATGAAAGGCAACATTTTGTTTTGTCACGGGCTCGTAATGTGATTAAACACATGGGAAGAACACCCAGATTTCAGTTCAACTGTTGTTCAACGCTGTTGTGAGTTGAAATCCATCGAATGTCTTGGAAGAGTTTGGAATCATTTCCGAGGTTTGTACGATGAGTTCCCCAGTCTGATCCACGTGAACACGCACTTTCACTTGGGTGGTGAACACCAAAACGTGGATGAGGGGGGCTATTCCCTCAACTATACCGATGCCGGGCTTGCAGGGAATATCGTTCCGAATGACATCCGCCCAGGATATTTTTGCAGGAACCAGAAATGGGTGACAACTGGACCTTGGCTGATTACAACTGGACATCTTGCAAAAATGTGAAGATGGGCTACACCTATGAGTTTCACTGGGTCCATTCCACGGCCGGGCCCATTGATGGGGTTTTGTCGGGCGGCTTGGGTGGTGTCTTCAATCGATCCATAAATCCAACGGCCTTTGTGCGAGGACAGATCTGTCGCATCGTGAACTGGCCAGAACAAGAATACAAAATGTTCAACACGACCTGGCGTGAACCAGTCAGAGACTCAGTGGTGTACATTGGCTCCACCACCGGTACGTCCTACGACAACTACAAATGTTCTCCAGCCGAAGTGACATGGCACGTGGATCGAGAGTGCTGCATTCTGTCGGCGCAGAACATGGACCGTATGTGCGCAGACTTGTTGGAGTATGGCCGAAACATGGAGGGTGATGTGCAACCCGCACCATCTCGTCTTCTTGTTGCACCCTTTATCTCGGACACCAACGCCTCGTTCATTGCCAACTACACCTCGACATGAGTGGGGAGACAGTTTTGGTGGAAGTAACTCCAGCTGGCTGGATGATTGTGGTTTGAAGTTAGTGAGAGTTGCTGCGCCAATTGAAGGTTGAGCATAACTGAAAAGTCGGCCACAAGTTTTAGCATGTTTTACTACTGCCAGCCAGCAGGGGTGATTCCCAAAGCCTGTGGGGGCCCTTTGAGAAGACCTGGGTCAACAAAGTACCTGCTAAACAAAGAAAGTTAAATGGCGTACCGATGCATACTGTATTTGATTAGACTTGCAGAGACTAACGTAACTTGATTCTCTTAGTGTTGTTGTTGGCTCTTCACAGTTCCCTTTGATGTCAGTGGGTACATCCGTCTGGTGGGGCTTTTTGGCGAAGTTTCCGAAGACACCCACGCAGACACAATGACTATAAACCAGGTTGCCCCAGGCCAAACTTTGGTCCATAGCTCATGAAGCTCGGAATATCCTGCTGGATCAATGCCCCGTCACCAGATCTGCACGTTCCCCGTGGGCAAAGCTTGCGCATTGCAGCTGCGGAGGGTGTGATGTCATTGTGAGGCTATTCAAAATCAAACAAACATCTGAATCTAAACATATCCAAAAAAAGCTGTCAGCTTGTAAAAAGCAACAGTTTCTGAGGGTCGGTAGCAGTGTGAACTGCATTGTGTTGAGACTGCTGTGACCGCAGCTTTGAATGACGCCATTTTGCTTCTGGCGAGATGCATTGCGTCGGCTAGTGGCTCAGCAGCTCAGCAGGTAGGCCCTTTCGGGTTGTCAGATTCTCGGAGACTCGGCATATCTCCGCATCACGTCATGGCGAGGGTTACGGTTCTCGTGGTTCTCATGATGCAGGCGCTTGCAGAGCAGAGCTGTCAAGAGGAGTCCCAGGAGGAAAGTTCCACTCTGATGCAGCTCAATCACCGAGACTTGGATCAAAGATCACTTAAGACATCTTGAGACTCAGGAGGTCTTCCCGCTTAGCGCTATATTTAGGAGATCTCAGGAGATCTGAAGAGATCTGAGACTCTGAGACGTTTTCTCTAGCTCTAGATGTACAGTGTGGGAGCCAGGGTCCCTTTCAGGCTAGTCTATCAAGAACGGAGTTTGTTCTAGCAGTTTTTGTCTTGTCCATTTTCCTTCATTTATATTTTTGTGGTCACTGCTTCTGTAGTTGATTTCTAGTTCTATTATTCCACTGTCCCTGTTCATGTTCAAATTCCAAATGTTGAGTTACTATGTTCATGATTTTAAACCACACGTTTTTTTCCTTTGTGTGCCTGTACTGGGAAAGGCTATAGTGCAATTAAATTGTATGCTAACTTTGTTTTTCATGGATTGTTTATTGATATTTTGTTTTGGCAGTTTTGAATTAGAACACTTTGTATTTCTCATTTTTCTATTGTTTGCATTGCAGCATATTTCTTGGAACATTTTATTATCATTTTTGTTTTAAATGAATCATAAATTCCAGCGTTCGTTCGGCAACTTTACTTTGCAACATACAGTTTTTGTGAATTCACTGGCGTTTCATCGTTGGAATGCTTCTGGACATAATGCTAAACGATACTAAACAATACTAAAATCGTATATAAATATATATATATTATATATATATATATTTATACACTATGTATATTATACTATATTATACTTAGTTAGTCTTAAGTGGATGTTTGTGTTTTCCCATCTATTCACAATTTCCTTGTGTCAGATTTTAAGCCTTGAAACTTGGTTGCCAAGGAGAGATGACGGGAACGAGGGTCTTCCATGGTGGGTCAAGAAGAAGATCATTGACTCACGTCGAGAGAGTCACCCAGCTCCTCCTCCCCCCCGGGCACCTCCACGCTATCCTTGCTCCATCGCAGAGCCGCAGTCGCCACGCAACGTGAGTAAAGATTTCGTGGGATTGTTGCCTCCGAAAGTGCAGCCCGTCGGTTCTTGGATGAAGGGCAACATTTTGGTTTTTCAAGAGCTCGTAATGTGATTAGACACATGGGAAGAACACCCAGATTTCAGTTCAACTGTTGTTCAACGCTGTTGTGAGTTGAAATCCATCGAATGTCTTGGAAGAGTTTGGAATCATTTCCGAGGTTTGTACGATGAGTTCCCCAATCTGATCCACGTGAACACGCACTTTCACTTGGGTGGTGAACACCAAAACGTGGATGAGGGGGGCTATTCCCTCAACTATACCGATGCCGGGCTTGCAGGGGATATCGTTCCGAATGACATCCGCCCAGGATATTTTTGCACTCCAGTGGACTATCAACCAGACAATGTCAGCTGGACCTTGGAAGATTACAACTGGACATCTTGCAAAAATGTGAAGATGGGCTACACCTATGAGTTTCACTGGGTCCATTCCACGGCCGGGCCCATTGATGGGGTTTTGTCGGGCGGCTTGGGTGGTGTCTTCAATCGATCCATAAATCCAACGGCCTTTGTGCGAGGACAGATCTGTCGCATCGTGAACTGGCCAGCTCAAGAATACAAGATGTTCAACACGACCTGGCGTGAACCAGTCAGAGACTCAGTGGTGTACATTGGCTCCACCACCGGTACGTCCTACGACAACTACAAATGTTCTCCAGCCGAAGTGACATGGCACGTGGATCGAGAGTGCTGCATTCTGTCGGCGCAGAACATGGACCGTATGTGCGCAGACTTGTTGGAGTATGGCCGAAACATGGAGGGTGATGTGCAACCCGCACCATCTCCTCTTCTTGTTGCACCCTTTATCTCGGACACCAACGCCTCGTTCATTGCCAACGGACAGTTTTGGTGGAAGTAACTCCAGCTGGCTGGATGATTGTGGTTTGAAGTTAGTGAGAGTTGCTGCGCCAATTGAAGGTTGAGCATAGCAGCATAATTTAATTACCTGACAAGTCGGCCACAAGTTTTAGCATGTTTTACTACTGCCAGCCAGCAGGGCTGATTCCCAAAGCCTGTGGGGGTCCTTTGAGAAGACCTGGGTCAACAAAGTACCTGCTAAACAAAGAAAGTTAAATGACATACCGATGCATACTGTATTTGCTTAGACTTGCAGAGACTAACGCAACTTGATTCTCTTAGTGTTGTTGTTGGCTCTTCACAGTTCCCTTTAATGTCAGTGGGTACATCCGTTTGGTGGGGCTTTTCTGCGAAGTTTGCAAAGACACCCACGCAGACACAATGACTATGAACCAGGTTGGCCCAGGCCAAACTTTGGTCGGGCCTTGTCACAAGAGATGAGGTCTGCCGATTAGTTTGACGTTTTGAGGCTAGCCATCTTGGCCAGTTCTCAATTCAAATAGGAAAATTCAATCAGGATGGCCATTTCTGCTTGTGGCTCATAGCTCATGAAGCTCGGAATATACCGTCAAAGCAGCCCGGAAGCACCGGCCTCTTCACAAGTTCCTGCTGGATCAATGCTCCGTCACCAGATCTGCACGTTCTCTTCAAAAATAGAAACAAGTTTGCCAGGGGCTGGCTTTCATCCCCTCCATTTTCGAATTGTTTCGCTCAAGTAGCCTCTTTCATGACAGACTTAGCTCAAGGAGTGTTAAAGGTGCATGCATCTCAAAAAGGCATGTTGTACATGAAGAAATAGCAAATGTAGCAGATCTTAAAATATATCAAATGGATTTATATAGATGGAATCAAAAGGATAAGGACCAAGTCAGCGTTGTCCAAACTTGTGTGCGTTTCCTCTTTGTTCAACAGCGAGGCAATCTGACTTTTGGCATCAAAAATAATCCCTGTGCATCACCGATTCATCTTCCAGACTTAAGATTTCATACAGAATGGAGTTGTGTTTGATTCGAGGGTGCTTTGGTGGCCGGGCTGTTGCACCTTAGACGAAGGCTTTGATTTCCACGGCCTAGTTACACAATGTGCCCCAGAGAAAGGGAGGACATGTTTCAATTGCTTCCAACGCTTTATTGGCTGCACACAAGGAGCTATGTGAGATCTTCATTGGATATGCCACTCCGAGAAATGACTACCTAGGATCCATTTTGGGAAATTTCGGATGTTTCCTGCCAACAATAAGATTGATTGCATGGGCACTGTATCTCGCGTTATTGTTGGAGGTCCATTCTGACTTTGACATAGTTTCAATTTTCACGAAAGCCAGCCGCTAGGCTAGGCGAAGTTATTTTTGCGAACAAAGTGAGTTAAGGGGGTCTGGGGGCAGAGCGAGAGGATCAAAAATCAGGAAATTAGGTGGTAAAAAAGGTGGCCACAGGTAAACTTTTTTAGGGTTATGTACCAGGTGGCAATTGGGTGACGGTGGGGTATCGATTCCCCCCTGGTCCGCCCTCCGAGGTGGACTTGGGGAGATTGCAATGGAGGGGAAAATGATGAGAAAAACAATTGAAAAAATGAGGGACTATGACATAAAACAATGGAAAAAAATGGGAAAGCAATGGAAAATTTGAGTAGAACGCTTGGAAAATTGATTAAAACGCGAGGAAAAACGGTGGAAAGAATAGGGAGAGGGTAAAATGATGCCAAGTAAAATTGAGGCTCCGATGTGGGACCATTATCGCGTAAAGCACGCGTGAAACATTGGAAAAGCAATGGAAAAATGGCAGTTTTGATGTGTGACCACTATGGAGTAGACGCGCGGAAAGAAAACCATGGAAGAAACGAGCAAAACCGTTCATACGGTGCAACTGTAGGGATTGTGGAAGGTGCATTTGGGTAAGCGTTCGACACACTGGGGTAACATAAGGGTAATGATGGAGAAATCGAGTAACACCATGGCAAAACACTGGAAAAATTGATGAAATGGAGAAATCGAGTAACATTATGGCAAAACACTGGAACAATTGCTGAAATGGAAGGATAAATTGATAGCGTAAACTATGGGACGATTGAGTAAAACTGGAGGAAAAACACTGGGGAGACTGGAATGAAGGGGAAAATGATGTCGAGTAAAACTATGGAATGAAAAGCAATGAAAAAAATTATGGCTTCGACGTGGATCGATGGGAAAGCAATGGAAAAATTGAGGGACTATGCTGAAGAAG